ATGTAGGACACTACTCGGCATTTGTGCCCAACAATGCTAATTGGATATTATTTAATGACTTAGGAAAAAAATCCGTACAAGTTGAAGAAGCTACTCAAATAAATGCACAAATGTGCATATATGTTTATAAATGAGCAAAGTGATGTAACCGTATTATTCCATGCTATTAGTTTATTTAGATAATTTAGTTTATTTAGTTATAGTTTACCTTACAATAAGTTATTGTACATCGAATAGTTATTGTATTATTTGTTAGTTTAGTTTATTTATTAATTTATTACTTAGTTTATAATGTGGCTGCAGTTAGATTCATATTCGAATCTGTACCAGATTCAGATTCATAAAATTACAGTTGACCAGGCAAGTATTGAACATATCAATTGAAAAATAGTTTTCTGAAATTACAGAAGTTGTAGCAATCTGCGACTACCCTGGATAATTGGAATAGACTCTCTAGTATGTTCCCTGTCTATCCTCACCCTCAGATTTGCCGCAGGGGCCGAGCGGTTCCTCGTTTTCAATAACATACTTAGATATTATTTTCTCAATAACTAGAGACTGCAGCACCCTAGGACTAGTTCAGATTATTGCATTAGGTCCTCTGGTATCCTTCTAGACCATCAGCACCTCCAGATTTGCCGTAGGGGCCGAAGGGTGAATTTTTCAAAATTCCTCGTTTTCAATATCAAATGTAAACATTATTTTCTCAATAATTAGAGACTGCAGCACCCTGATACTAGTCTAGATTATTGCATTAGGTCGTCTGGTATCTTTCTAGCCCACCAGCACCCTCAGATTTGCCGTAGGGGCCGAGGGGTGAATTTTTTAATATTACTCGTTTTCAATATGAAATTTAAACTTTATTTTCTCAATAACTAGAGACTGCAGCACCCTGGGACTAGTCTAGATTATTGTATTAGGTCCTCTGGTATCCTTCTAGCCCATCAGCACCCCCAGGTTTGCCGTAGGGGCCGAAGGGTGAATTTTTCAATATTCCTCGTTTTCAATATCAAATTTAAACTTTATTTTCTCAGTAACTAGAGACTGCAGCACCCTGGGACTAGTCTAGATTATTGCATTAGGTCCTCTGGTATCCTTCTAGGATACCAGCACCCTAAGATTTGCCGTAGGGGGCGAGGGGTGAATTTTTTAATATTACTCGTTTTCAATATCAAATGTAAACATTATTTTCTCAATAATTAGAGACTGAAGCACCCTGGGACTAGTTTAGATTATTGCATTGGGTCCTCTGGTATCCTTCTAGCCCATCAGCACCACAAGATTTGCCGTAGGGGCCGAAGGGTGAATTTTTTAATATTACTCGTTTTCAATATCAAATTTAAACTTTATTTTCTCAATAACTAGAGACTGCAGCACCCTAGAACTAGTCTAGATTATTATATTTAAAATTGATGTAGTATTTAGTTTGATATTATAATTTCAAATTGCTTTTACTTCTCTTAGTAATGAAACTTGAACGATATGGATTCAAGGGACCAGCCAACGATATTATAACATTTTATTTAAATAATTATAACATCTTGTTCAAATAATAGGTCACACTCTACTAAAGTCATAAGCTTAAAAAGTAAGGCTGTAATTTCTACTAATAAAACTGCACTCTACGGTGTCTCACAGGGTAGTATACTGGGACCGCTTTTGTTCCTTATCTTTATAAATGACCTTCTACTCTTCGGCCTGAATTGTCACAAAACGAATTATGCTGATGACACCAGCCTTGTAATTACTAGTTCAACGCTTAATGAAATGATCCATAAAACGTGTACTACTGTGTGAATTGTGGAAAATTGGTTCAGCCGCAATAAGTTAGCTATGAATGGGTTTATATGAACGTGTGTGACTATGTTCAATTAGTTTCAATTTTTATTTATGTCTTCTTCTGTCTTAACCCTTTCGCGACTCCTGGTACACATATGCACCACTAAGTTTTATGTAACTCCTATATCTNATATTGCTTTTACTTCTCTTAGTAATGAAACTTGAACGATATGGATTCAAGGGACCAGCCAACGATATTATAACATTTTATTTAAATAATTATAACATCTTGTTCAAATAATAGGTCACACTCTACTAAAGTCATAAGCTTAAAAAGTAAGGCTGTAATTTCTACTAATAAAACTGCACTCTACGGTGTCTCACAGGGTAGTATACTGGGACCGCTTTTGTTCCTTATCTTTATAAATGACCTTCTACTCTTCGGCCTGAATTGTCACAAAACGAATTATGCTGATGACACCAGCCTTGTAATTACTAGTTCAACGCTTAATGAAATGATCCATAAAACGTGTACTACTGTGTGAATTGTGGAAAATTGGTTCAGCCGCAATAAGTTAGCTATGAATGGGTTTATATGAACGTGTGTGACTATGTTCAATTAGTTTCAATTTTTATTTATGTCTTCTTCTGTCTTAATCCTTTCGCGACTCCTGGTACACATATGCACCACTAAGTTTTATGTAACTCATATATCTCCCAGAAAAGAAATCATCGCGAAAGGGTTAAATAACACTAAAATTTAACAAAATTAAAAAGTTTTTCCACAGGTGTAATAAAACAAAAAGTCGTAATGAACAAATAAATATTAATGGTTGGAAAATGGCTAAAGACCACAAATATCCTAAACAAACGGATAGCACAAATTGTGGAATATTTGTTATATATTTTATGAGCGTTATAGGAGAACGTGGCAATATTAGTGATCTTTTTTATGTAAATAAACAATTGGATACAGAGAAATACTGGTTTAGGCTACAAACGTATTTGTTGGAAAATTCTGAAAATATTAAAAAGTATTGCCCTAAGTGTGGTCTCTATAACGAATAGCATTTGTTGCAATCAATGTCAACGGTGGTATCATTTTAAAAATTGTGCCAATATTCCACCAAACATGTCTTTTGAACAAGCGTCCCACGTTACCTTCATATTTACCTGCAATCTTTGTTCAATTTAAATGTTTTAATGTGTCTCAAAATTTAGAAAAGTTCGTTGAAGTTTCATTAATAAAGAAGTAAAAGCTATATGAAAATTATACTTTCAAATCAAACTAAATATTGAATAAATTTTGAATATAATAATCTGTAGGGCGCTGTAGTCTTTAGTTCTTCAGAAAATAATTTTTAATTTTGCTATTGAAAACGAGGAATTTTAAAAAATTCACCCTTCGGCCTCTACGGCAAATCTGGGGGTGCGAGTGGACTAGAAGGATACCAGAGGACCTAATGCAATAATCTAGACTAGTCCCAGGGTGCTGCAGTCTCTAGTTATTGAGAAAATAAAGTTTAAATTTGATATTGAAAACGAGTAATATTAAAAAATTCACCCTTCGGCCCCTACGGCAAATCGGGGGGTGCTGATGGGCTACAAGGATACCAGAGGATCCAATGCAATAATCTAAACTAGTCCCAGGGTGCTGCAGTCTCTAATTATTGAGAAAATAATGTTTACATTTGATATTGAAAACGAGGAATATTGAAAAATTCACCCTTCGGCCCCTACGGCAAATCTGGGAGTGCTGATGGGCTAGAAAGATACCAGAGGACCTAATGCAATAATCTAAACTAGTCCTAGTGTGCTGCAGTCTCTAGTTATTGAGAAAATAACGTTTAAATTTGCTATTGAAAACGAGGCATATTAAAAAATTCACCCCTCGCCCCCTACGGCAAATCTGGGGGTGCTGGTGTGCTAGAATGATACCAGAGGACCTAATGCAATAATCTAGACTAGTCCCAGGGTGCTGCAGCCTCTAGTTATTGAGAAAATAATATCTAAGTATGCTATTGAAGACGAGGAACCCCTCGGCCCCTATGGCAAACCTGAGGGTGAGGGTAGACAGGGAACATACTAGAGGGTCTATTCGAATTATCCAGGGTAGTCGCAGATTGCTACAACTTCTGTAGTTTCAGAGAACGATTTTTCAATTGATATGTTCAATACTTGTCTGGACAACTGTAATTTTATGAATCTGAATCTGGTACAGATTCGAATATAATAATAATAATAATAATAATGATTTTTAGAAAATTAGGATGGTCAGATTATTCCATATTTTTTTAGTTTTTTAAAACTATTATTATATTAAAGGTTGGGTTCACTGATTCAACAAAACCTGTCCGATATCACAACAACTCAAATTTAAGGTTTTTCTAGTGAAAATAACAGCTGTTCTGAATTGTTTTAATTGTTGTAAGTACTAATTTTTAATATAAAACTTTAAAAGAACTAAAGCAGCAGTGATTAAATAAACTTTTTAAGTACCTAGAACAACAAGAACAATTTAGAGCAACAAAAAATTTGTGATTTTGCAAAATTAATGTCCGTGTTAAACGTAAAACACATCTAGAACAATTTGAATCGGCAATGTTTGAGTTATTTTAGATTGTTCTATGTTTTTTAATTCTTATTGTGTAATATAAAATCGCTGACACAAGAATTACTGACTGAAACTTCGAAAAACTTTAATTTTCAAAGAGTAAATTGCCCTTTAGAGAGTTGTTCTAGTGAAAATAATAGCTGTTCCAGATTGCGTTAGCTATAATAAGTATATATTTGTAATATGGAATTGATAATAGAAAAACTATGGTCACAGCAATCAACTAGACATTTCGGTAGCCAAACCTATTTTTAGCTATAACTTCGTAATGCTCTATCCCATAATTTTGATTTTCTAGAACAATCCCCATTTCCAAAAATGGGAGGCTAGTCAAAAAACCCGTTTTTTCGGTTTTCTCGCGGAGTTTATATTTTTTCGATTTGCCGCTTTGGAACAATGTAGAACAACTCTAGAACAATCTAGAACAACAAGGAAAATTTTTAAAAATCAAAAAATGGGGGGCTAACTTCCCGCACTCCCGCCATAACTATGTTAGGCTCTACTCTACGAGATCTTTCTAATGAGCTATTAATCATTGCAATCGATGCACAAACAAAAAAGTTTGTTTATGGATATAATTTATGGGTAACTTCACACTGGTTAGAACGATTCATCATCATGCAAATTAATGAAAAATGTTTGGTCCGATGTTGAATTCGCCCTTTCTATTCTCAGCGCCTCATATGAACTGTTTATAACACAGTTTATAACTTATGTAAAGTGTGTTGCATAAACGATGTGTTGACGTGTATGTCAGCTGTAACGAAAAGTGGAAAGTTTTGGTAAACCCGGAATTAAATCGACCCTGAATGGAGAATATGTTATTGTTTTGAATAATGTAGGTGTCCTCTTAAAATACCATCAATATGGAACAGAAATTAGCTAATTATCGACAAAGACAAGAAAGGCAGGTTTATTTAGATAAAACCAAACAAAGAATTAGCAACTTTTTTAATACAACCCAAAGTGAATCAAAAACTAACAACGTAAGTTACAACACTAAAATAATATAATAAATATAAAATAATTCATTTTTAGACATTCCATGAAGAAGAACACAATCCTGAATCGGAAACACTTCTTATAAATGATACACAATCAGAAACAAGTATAACAAGTGATGATGATAACATAAATTGTTGTACCCGAATTGATTTACTTTACTATTTTTTATTGTTTTTAATATGGGCTACATTATATGTGATATTTATTGAATACCAATTTGGTACCATTTATTTAATATTATCCGCTTTAATTGGAATTTACTTAAATACCAGAACCAAACCAAAGAGGCCCGGAGAGATCAGCGCTTATTCCGTTTTCAATCGAAACTGCAAAAGTATTGATGGCACATTAAAAGCAGAACAATTTGAAAGGGAAATTCGATATGGAAGGTGACATTAGTGAACAAAAAAAAGAAAACGAGTATTTAATGAATATAATTGGTTGTTTTAGTTATGGACTACTACATGTATAATATATTTTCCTTATTAAATAATATAACTTAGGTTACAAAAAAAAAGTGTTTATTTAATTTATTTAATTATCCACCAATCTAAACCCAGAACCATTATAGATAACAGCAAAATAAAGCGTAATCATTTATTTTGTTATCAGGCCGTTCTGAATTTAAATAAAATGACGAAGTAACAGATTTGTTGGGTCGGGATTTCGACCCGATTCCGACGCGTCGCTCGTAGAAACCGACGACGTCGGAGTCACGCGACGTCCACCGTCGGTTACTGAACGAGAGATCGCGATGAATTTACGTCAGTAAAATCTAACAGTAATCGGTTATAGGCTGTGCTTATTTTAGCAGAAGTTTCTCGATCGTCATCCCTACAGCAAGTTGAAAATGCCGAACATCATCAATGAAATCAAGCTCGACTTTAAAGACGTTCTACTTAGACCTAAAAGGTCCACACTAAAAAGTCGTAACGATGTAAGTTTTATTGATTTATACTTTTAGCATGAAAATAAATTTCGAATTAATTAATGAATACAAAATAATGATTTTTTTATTTGTTTTATTGTGTAAAAAGTAAAGTCTCGTGATAATCTATTGAAAAACCATCTAATCTATTTCTAAATGAATGCACGCGTGTGTATTGTTATAGATTATGCAATCGTGACTTTCAAAAGTTTGTTTATTAAATCAATTCAGTAGTTAAAGCTCTTCGAACAGATGATGCTATTGTCATTTTAAATAGAAACTAGTTCAATGCCAAAATAAGATTATCGAACAAGGCCATTGTGATCGGTTTGAACGTTTTTTATCACCACTTTATAAAGTAAATTGAACTTGAGTATGTTTTAAGTTATTGGAATATATCCAAATTGTTTTTGTTTGAATTTAAAATGAAATTTTAAAATTTTTAAAATAACTAAAAATATATTTTAAAATAGCAAGGCACTCAAAGGTCTTATTATTTTGGAATCAAAAAAATTCTCCGTTGAAAAATTTAGTTTTTGTATTTTATAAATAATGCTGAATCATTACCACAGCAGTAAAAAGCTGAACATTTTTATTCTTTAAATGTAGCCATTTAAAACAAAACTAGAAAAATAATCGAATAATAGAACATTGGTAACCGTAAAAGAATGCCAAATTAATCTGCTCGGCTTTTGGCCGATTATCACCCATGACTGTGTTCACAACAATGCCTGTGATGTTGATGAGGTTTAAAGAAAACTGGGCCTGGACCACTTCAAAGTGAATCCTTGAAATGCATTAGCCCACTTTTATAATTTTGAGTAGCATCAATTATGTTGGGCTAGCCACCCGTTGGTTGGTTATGTCGATGAAAATAAAAGAGGCAGTTACTACAAGTTCTTCATTGCCAGTTGTGTTACCAGCTTGTTGGTGGTCTTCATGGTGGACGGCTTCCTGCTGCCTTTCCCTCCATTACTATCCACGGTAATTTATGCTCGCCCATTTTTTTTACATGGCTGTGCCATCTTCTACGCTGTCGGCTCATTGTGCAATGTCTTGTATTTCGCACTGTTCTCGGATGTTAGCGTTTCTTATTTTGTCTCTTCTCGTTTAGCCTAGCATAGTTCCTAGCAACTCTATCTGTTCGTACGTATTGGTTCTACCAAACTGTGTCTATCAAGCATCCCGATAGGACTGCTGCTTTATTTACTAAACTTCTTACTTCTCTAGTGGGGTTGTAACTGCATTAGATATCAATACCTAGATATCTGAATGTGTTAAGCTGTTCGAAAGGTCTTGTCCTTCACAACCAGTTTGCACCTGACAATACATATATGTCAGAGCTGTCGGGCCGACTTATAGAACTTAAACAGTTGTTTCTTCAGGTCATCCTCACTCTCCGCTATGATAACTGCAATTTCGACGTAGCACATCAGTCGTTTGCTGCTTATTTTGTATCCCAAATGTCATGACCAGATGTATTGCGATATGGTCTTGGATTCTTGGTACGTTGCCGGTGTTAAGAGTGGGGATTAATTTCATGGCTTGAGATGGTATTTGTTTCTCCATTAGCATGGGTAAAATGACTAATAGGCCCACCTTATCAAATGCCCTTATGGGTAGGCGGGTTTATTAAATTCAATTGATATCTCTTTTAGTTGTTTTATTATAAATATAGTATTGTTGATCTGTTTTTTCGTATCCCCAAGTGTTTTTCTCTGTTCTAAATTTGCCTTTCTAGTTTCTCTTTTGTGATGTTGGTAAGTAATTTCATAGATGTGTTTAGCAGGGTTATTCCTCTGTATTGTCCGGGCAGATCTTTTGCCTTTCTTTCAAAATGGGTTTTGTAGTATTACCTTGTGACGTATACAAAATGTTGCTAAACAGCGTCAGTAGCTTTTCGCCATATTTTAGGAGCACATTAAGTTTGGTTTCTGCTCCTTCGGTTTTTCAGATTCCTTGTTTTTTCTGCTAGTTCCTCTATTAGTGTTGATATTTCCTCATCTATTTCATAATTTATTTGAGTTTTTTCCTCAGCGCTATATAATTGTTTAAAGTGGCTTGCCTAAAAGTTCGGCGGGATGCTTTTTATTTGCATGTATTTACTGGCTTCTTTCTGTTCCTTACCATCTTCGAGACTTTTTAATAAAAATTCGGGCGATACTTCCAAAAAAAAGGCTTGGACATCTATGTTATTTGAATATGAAAATAAAACGAAATATGTGAATTTCGCACTTGCAAAATTATTCGGTCTCTTCTTCTCGCTCCGCCAAGATGGTCACGTCTGTTTTGTGATACCTCATTTGTTTTGTTGTGTGATCAAAGTGATCAAACGTTCTAGACCGCAGTTCTCGGCACCAAAACATACTCCATCATGTTGCTTAAGCATGTTCTCAATCCTAAATTGATATCCGAAAAATTGAGTGTTTTCTGATTTTTTGAACAAATGTCTGCTGGAGCAGATTTTTCTAGAAAAATTCGAATAACTCGAGAACGACCGAATCAAATTGCAAAAAGTAAAGTTATTTATAAACCTTCAAAACAGACAAATCCAAATATGTAAAAATATACAGGGTGTTCCATTTAAAAAAATAAAGTAGGTGGCGACTTCCGGTATAACCGGAAGTGCTAGAAATCTGAAAATATTTTAGATGAAGAGAACGTAATTGATAATACTTAAGTCTGCATTCTCAAATTTTTTGTTTGACCAGAACCCCAGAAACGTCTAATGACCGGTCTCGCTGAGACACCCTGTATAGTTCAGGGTAAAGAAACAATTATTACGGCCCAGCATGCATTTAATAACGGTTTGGGATACTGCCAGGTACAAGAAGAGTTTCACTTTTAGCATTTAATTAAGTAGACGATGTTAAGATAAAACCATGTTATATTTTACCTGAAATAAAATAGTAATAGTATCTTATTAATAGTCATTTCTTCGAAGACAGCTGAATATCGTTTCATGAAAAATACTCGTAGTATCCATAAATGCAACAAAAATGGGGGTTCCTATTTAAAAGTGTCAACTTAGAGATCGTATTTCAATTTTGGGACACCTGTATAGGGTGCGCCAAATTGGACACTTTTAAAGGGAAACTCCTCTTTCTGTAAGAGATAGAGGAAAAATGATATCAGTGTTTGAGGCTCGTTTCTAACAAGAAACTTAATGGCGAAACCCGCATATCGATATCTCTTACGGTTTCAGAGTTACAGGTGTTTTTCAAAAAAGTGAATTTTCGAAAAGTCGTCATAATTTTTTTCTTATTGATCTTCCTTTCTGTGAAAGCATTTCCAAAGCAACTTTTTATGTAGAATTCGATGGAATAAGTTAGCTTTCCCTCAAAGCAATATTTTAGTAGTTATTGACATAAAAATTACTTTTTTAAATGAACCATCCTATATATTTTTTAAATTCGACGAGAGCATAAAATTTCCTTTTCAAAAATATAGCACACTTGATATCTCTTTCAAGTCTTTAAGATTTTCAATTGCATACTAGTAGGGTAGTGGGCTTTGACTTGAACGAAATATCAAGTGTGCTATATTTTATGTTAACAAAATACATGTACCTAATAAAAAGTTTGTGATGAAGGAAAAGTTTCTTTTAACTACAGCGCCATCTTTATTTTGGTACAATGAATAATAACAATACTTAAGAACTGAAGTCATTTATGTACTCTAACAACATCTTCTTGCAAAACTAAGATATTTCAACCCATTCCAGAGATACTTGGCCTGGGAGTTTTAAGTGAAAGACCTGTACAGGTGTTTACAAATAATATTTATTCCTAATTCGTTTTAAAATCAATTTCGAATGACTTATTTCAACAACATGATTGCATTTCCATTAAAATAAATGTTTTGAAATTATAATTACAAATTGCAATTTATTTTTGTTAAATTTTAGGTTAACCTCTATAGAAATATAACATTTAGAAATTCAAAGAGAACATATCAGGGAATTCCTGTAATGGCCTCAAATATGGATACGGTGGGAACATTTAAGATGGCTAAAGCGCTATCAAAACATGGTTTATTTACTACCATCCATAAATATTACACTGTGGATGAATGGAAAGCTTTCGCCTCCGAAAATCCGGATTGTCTCCCAAATATAGCTGCAAGTGCCGGAATGGCTGAAGCGGATTTTCAACGACTTTCGGACATTTTAAATGCAGTACCAGATATTACATTTATTTGTTTGGACGTTGCTAACGGGTATTCCCAGCATTTCGTTGATTTTGTTCGAAAAGTTCGAGCTGCATTTCCAACACACACCATAATCGTATGTAAATCATTTTTGTTAAAATCGTTTTAATGTATTAATGAAGAATTTTCTAGGCGGGTAATGTTGTTACCGGTGAAATGGTTGAAGAATTAATTTTATCAGGGGCTGATATAATAAAAGTAGGTATTGGTCCAGGAAGTGTTTGTACGACAAGAATGAAAACTGGCGTTGGTTATCCTCAATTATCAGCGGTGATTGAATGTGCTGATGCTGCTCATGGATTGCAAGGACATATCATTTCAGTAAGTAATAAAGTTTTTAAAATGATTTATATTAATAAAAATATTTTTCTTTTAGGATGGGGGTTGTACATGTGCGGGTGATGTTGCAAAAGCTTTTGGAGCTGGTGCTGATTTTGTTATGGCTGGAGGAATGTTCGCTGGTCATGATCAATGTGAAGGAGATGTTATTGAGAAAAACGGAAAAAAATTTAAACTATTTTATGGAATGTCTTCCAGTACAGCAATGGAAAAACACTCGGGTAATAATTTAATTCCCTTATTTAACAACAAAATAAATCAATTAAAATCTTTTTTTTTTAAGGAGGTGTTGCTGAATATAGATCGTCTGAAGGTAAAACGGTCGAAGTCCCATACAAAGGTGACGTTGAACCGACCGTTTTAGACATTTTAGGTGGATTACGAAGCGCTTGTACTTATACAGGAGCTGGTAAAATCAAGGAACTTCCGCGTAGAGCCACGTTTATACGATGCACACAACAACTTAACACAATTTATAGTTAAATTCTACAATTTACATATATACAACATATGTTCAGTATTTTGAAAGAGTTTTATTTATTTTTTATTACGTACGTGTTGTGTCCACATAAATCTTTTATCAAAATTACGCAAGTGAACTTTTTTTTTAAATTAAAACAAATTGTTATAGAATTACGTTTATACTGACATCGAGAAGTGCCTCAGGGTTTTTTATTAGTAAAAGAATTAGTTAATTGAACTAAAACTAGCACTATCTCTAGAACTATAGTAGCCATAGAAGTAGAAACAGCGCCTTTTAAAAAAGTGTTTGGCAGTACGAATGCAATGTTGCAACCATCTTCAGAAACAACTTATTAACAAGAATATATCAATTTTCTTGATTTTTTTATATCTTTTATTGAACTAAAACTAGAATTAACACTTGCACTACCGTTAGAACTAACACTAGACCTAGAAATATTCGAATTTAGCCATCTTGAAAATCGTTCAAGATGGCTAAACCCGAATATTTCTAGTTTTATGTCTAGTGTTATTGTTATGTTAATTCTAGTGTTAGTTGTTATTCAAGGCCAAGTTGTTGTACACTTCGAACGTGTTCGTGAAGGTTTCAACATGCCACCCGAAACGTCAAACACTTTTCTAAAAAATCCAAAAGTTTTTAGTTCTAGGTCTACTGTTCTAGTTTTTGTTCAGTTAACACCGGCCATGAAAGCCCTCGTACTTATAAATTAATTAATGTTTTTGCGCTACAAATAGATAATGTGCTCAAAGTTTTGCATTACACTAAGTGAGGTTGTTTCAAAAGTATTATTCCGACATTAAATAAATTTTTGGCTTTTATTTATGTAGTTTCAAATATACGTACATCCTTTTCCTACAATTTTGATAAAAAGTGTAAAAGATTCAAATTTGAAAAGCTATTCAATTGACATCAACAATAAACAATGTTATCGGAAAGAACGATGGTAAGATGGTACATAAATATGTTCATGTGGAGTATTTTACGTTTACTGTTTCATTTACAACACTTGTCTAGTTTTAACTTTTTATTTCATTTGATCAATATTGATTACAAAATCCATTTTACCAGTAATTTTAAGAATTTAAATTTTGTTTAAAAATATCAATGATTAAAATTTTGTACTTTTGTACTGGTTTTATTATTAAATCCGTTTTACATATTTCGGCCTTATAGGGTCATCTTCAGAAGCGCTACAATTAATGACAATAAGAATTGTTCTAAAACTATTGTTAAAGTTAACTTACTTGTCATTAGAAAAAGTTGCCCTTCAAAACCTCGTACATATCGTAAATTTTGGCACAGCAAAACACAAAATGTTAATCTAATGTACAAAAGTGATTGAAAATCTTAAATTTAAAAATAAAAATTATAGAATTAACACGTTAAATATTGCAATTTAACCAGTACAATTTTAATCATTAATATTTTTAAATCAAATTTAAATTTTTATTTCATTGTTCAGTTCAGTTTTGCTAGAACTGTCTTTTATACAGGCGATAAACTCCCCTTTGTAACATAAATCGCCCATTTTCCACTGCTCATAAAGACCGATATCTTCGCAACCGCTCGATGAAAAAATTGCGGTAAGGTTTGTTATAATCACTAAACATTTCTACGTAACTCTTGGAGAAAGTTCTAATTGTTGATATGTATTTGACAAATGGAGAACTGTGTAAAATCTTTTAATTTATTAAAAATCTCGCTTGAATTTGGTAGTGGATAATGTTCTGATTTTGTTACTGAATTCATTAATATCTTATAGTAGTCACAAATTCAAATCTTTCTATTTTTTCGATTACTGCTATCGTTAAAGCCACTTGCTATGATTTGGTCTAACCTATCTAATTCTTGAGATACCTGATTTCAAAGAATAAGGTACAGTTCTGTTCAGATATAATGCGAAAAGAGCCGCTCGTAGAGGCATAAAATTGTACTAGAAACGACCTACGTTCACGAGGCATTCAATCCCAGTTTTGCCTGCTCTGTAGTGTTGTAAAAGTTCCGAACAGGCAAGCGGAGTGATGTGATTTATGGTCAAGATGACTGAATCACAAAGAAAAATTAAGAAAATAAATAAGTATAAGCAATCCATCTACTTTACACAATTCCTGTAGTAAATGAAAATAATTACTAATAATTACTGTATTAATGAAAATTATATATTGATAGTAAGTTATATATAAACTTTGAAATATATCAATAACCATTTTAATATAATAAAATCAAAAATCAATATAATAGTCCTATAGTATAACAAAAAATATAATATATTATTATACATATAAAATATAATAAATATTATAATAATCTAATTGGGAAGATTTTATAAGGTCCATTATAATATTATCAGTATTTTGTATAATACCCATTATTCTCTTAGCAACATTGCAACCTGGTAGACATCGAATTTACTACTCTTTCGCATGCATCCTTGTATGTCATTTGAAGAGAGTTTCATAAAGCTTTATTTATAAGTTTTATATTTGTTCATTATATTACTGAGATTTTTAAATACTCTAAAATCATTTATTAGAGGATCATATAAAACGTGTATTTGTTGTTCTTAAAAATATCAAAAAAGATTTAAAATAAAATAAACACATTTTAAAAAAGGGTGAGTCATTCTTCGGCCCACATCAAACTGGGACGGTTTTACCTGGGTTAAGGAAGAGGGTAACTTCTTCCAGTACCAGCGTCATGTCGGAGCTAACAGAGGACGATTCGCATTAAATCTGAACAGAGCTGTACAGGACAAGCTTTAAAAATATAGAAGGATTTCCTTCTAGTACTAAATCAACTTTAAAATCATTAAATTTATCGTTTTCTGGCCTGAAAACTTTAAATTTTGACTCAGATTCATTAATGATTTCACTAACCATTTGAGGACTAGCAATACTTTTATTTTGTTTGCGGTTTCTAGCTTAACATTTAAATCTTTTATCAAATTTTCAACCCATTCAAATAGGACTTGATTCCACATCCAGATCGGTTTTAATGACATAAATAAAAGCCGGGGTGATTTTTGCCCGCTCAAGTATAGTCAGAAAAAAGGAGATGCGTCGACGTTTTTTCGTATAGGCCGTCCAAATTACACAAAATCCCATATACAGTATGTAAAATTAACCCCGAAAATGTAATTTGGACGGCCTATACGAACGAAAATCGACGCATCTCTTTTTTTTCTGACTGTACCTGAAAAGATTTATAACAGTCAGACAAAGACAGGGTCGAACTTAAATTTTTGTAAACTAAAATTTAATAAAAACCAAAGTTTAGTTATAACAACTAAAATTTAATTATAAAAACTAGTATAAGTCTTAGAAAAAAATATTACTTTTAGGAATGTCTAAATAATAGAATAACAAAATTTTAAAGAATCTAATTATCCGCCGCCCTTTTTTGTAATTAGACAATGTATGCCTTCTCAAAACATTTCTTAGAAAAAAATATGTACTTAATATTAGAAATACAACAAATAAGAGAATAATGAGTATTTATATATCACCCTATTATTTTTCTACAATTTGCAAGTAAAGTGTGTTCTTTATTGCGGCCCTGTGTGAGGAATCCCAGCATTCTACAATGGGAAACTACCTGTTGCAACCCCGCGTTTGTTCATTTTACAACTCCAGTAGGAAAGTGACAGTTATAAAAACCGATCGCCGTGCGGAAGACTATACTACGATTAAATATTCTTTACAAACAATCCTAAACCTAACTGGTACATAAATCTTTCATAAAACTTTTAAAATGAACATGCACAAATTTTGGTGTTCTTTTTGAAGAATTATTTCAAATTTTGTATACAGCTAATGTTTATGAAACTCTACAATAAAATCGTCAGCCACACTACCAGGGCTGTCCCATTTTTATGGTTATCAGGGGCAGTTATGGCTATTTTCCTAAGGTATCTTGAAAACAGTGGTAGATAGGAGAATAACACATCAGACCAAAAAGTTGAAAGAAACATAGGAGTTTAAATACGATATCAAAATGTATACAGTGTTCAAACAAAAACTTGCGGATGGTATAAGAATCAGAAACACGAAAAAATGACACGCCTGGTCAACAATCGTGTGGCTGACGATTTTATTATTTTATTGTAGAGATTTATAAACATTAGGTGTATACCAAATTTGAAATTTTACCACCCTGTGTAGTGATGCATTTTTGACCACATGTTTATTAGCATTTTTCTCCTATTTTGTCGAGTACTATGGCCTCTTAAAATATCTGCACGTCGTTCATTAACATCCTGTATAATGAGACTTTTACCAATATTTAGGATGAGCTGCATTATCTTATCATCTTAGGTAAAAAGTATTTTCCGAAATTAAATAAATGTTTGGCTTTTATTTATGTAGCTTTAAATATTACATGTACATACTTTTCCTATACAATAATATCGCAGTAAATATGTATTTAAATGGAATCGTTAACATAAACCTTTAAACATTCCCAAAAAAAATTATCTAAAAATTAATTTATAATTTATTTGAATTTTCACCACCAATAGACTTTTTATTATCATCTTCTTTTATTTCCTCTTCTCTTTTATTTCGATCTAATTCTCTCTTTTCATCTTCCTTTTTTTCTCCATCTTCTTTATCATTTTCTGACAGCTCTTGATCATAAAGAGCCAATAATTCCTCCTAAAATTAAGATTATTTAACACTATTCCTACCACGACCGGTCAATTGTCGGTTTTTGATATTTCGATTAGAATTTCTTTTGTACAAGGTAATTGAATAAACTTGAATAATTGAATTTTACTTTGAATAAAATCACACCTCGAAAGGATGCCAAAACGTCACAAATTCAAACCACTAAACTTTAGTGAGCCGAAGGTGACAGGAAGATGACTAGGAAATTTCTAATATTGAAAATGACAATGTAGATATTCATGATCTAATTGAGACCGACTTAAATACCGATGACAATGAAGAATATGTTTTGAACGCACGTAAGAGAAGGAAAAAAAAGATTTTTAGCTAGTTCTAAGAGTGATAATAAAGAAGAAGTGATTGAAACTGCTATAGACCGAACTATTTGGCGAGAAGTAAAAGAGGGATCTAAGCCTCTAAGAGTACCTATTCACAATATTTTTCGGGAAACGTCAGGTCCGATATGGCACAGCAAACAGAATATTGCGAAAGGTAAAGTTAGCATTTTCTCTGATTATTGATAAAAACATAATTGAACACATAAGAAAATGTACACAAGCGGAATCTTTTCGAGTATTGCAAAATTATATGCATTAATTGCACGTATGTACGCGGCGCGTATCAGTCTAAAAATATAGATATTGCACGTATGTGGAACAAAAAGTGAGATCCGGCATTTTTCTCAAATACTATGAGCTGAAATAACTTTACGGAAATTATGAGGTTTATTCGATTTGACAACAGAAATCAACGAAGACAACTTTTACAAACCGATAAATTTGCTTTGATTACGGAAGTTTGGAACGAATTCATTGGGAACAGTCAAAACTGTTATAACCAGGACCATATATAACTGTGGATGAACAATTGTTCCCAACAAAAGCAAGATGTAGATATACGTAGTACATGCCTAATAAACCAGACAAATTTGGTATCAAGTTCTGGTTAGCATCCGATATAAATAGCAAATATGTAATAAATGGTTCTTTTTATTTGGGACAAGATGAGAAGAGAGCCCTTCAGTTCCGCTGGGAGAGTTTGTCTCTCTGAAATTAGTAGGACCATACACAGGATGAGGAAGAAATATAACAACGGATAATCTTTTTACAAGCATGTCTGTAGCGACAAAACTTTTAGCGAAGAAAACTACGACTGTTGGGACGATTCGAGGAAATAGAAGAGTCCTACCAAAATTGGCGAAACTGAAAAGTGACAACATGACAGGTTATTCAACAAAATTATATGGATCAAATAATTGTATTTTGACAATTTACAAAGCTAAACCATATAAAAAGGTACTGATTCTTAGCACAATGCATAATTCCGTACATATTGAAGAGGATGATACCCATATACCAGAAACAATTAGGTTCTACAATAGCACCAAATTTGGTGTAGATGTGACCGACCAAATGTCCTAAAAGTCCTAAAGTCTCCTAAAAGTCGAAGATGGCCTTTAAGCGGTCCATACACGATGACTCTTGAGGCAGTGCCGCCAGAGCCGCCGAGACTAAATACTTCCTATAGAGGACAGATACTACTTATACAATACTAGAAACTGCTTAAAAAGATAGATATTGTCTATAGAAACCTACGTACAAATTGGTTGCAAAATACCAATACTACTTGTAGAAGACTAAATACTGCCGGCAGAAGACTAAAAACTCCTTGCAGAAGACAAATACTACCTATACAATACTAGAAACTGTTTGCAGAAGATAGATATTGTCTATGGAAGGCAAGGTACTGTTACCAATAGCCAAGGAATTGGTTCCAGAATATTAATACTGCTTGCAGAAGACTAAATACTTCCTATAGAGGACCAAAAATTCCTTGCGGAAGATAAATACTACCTATACAATACTAGAAACTGATTAAAAAGATAGATATTGTCTATAGAAACCTAAATACTGCTACCAATAGACTACAAATTGGTTGCAAAATACCAATACTACTTGTAGAAGACTAAATACTGCCGGCAGAAGACTAAAAACTCCTTGCGGAAGACAAATACTACCTACACAATACTAGAAACTGTTTACAGAAGATAGATATTGTCTATGGAAGGCTAGGTACTGCTACCAATAGCCAAGGTATTGGTTCCAGAATACTAATACTGCTTGCAGAAAAATCCCATAAACATGGGTACATTCTGTATAGGTTTATAAATTTTTACCAAAAATCTTTTTCGGCAAACGATGCCATTTCGATGGACGTTGGAAATAAACTAAAGCGATACTTTTGGTGTCGTATGCACGTCGCAATCCCATACACGTTGACTCTTGCAAGGCGCCAGAGCCTGCCAGGGTCTTGAATCCGTCGCTATCGCCGCTGCCGATGCAGTCGCATGAGTCTTGACACCTTCCCTACACACGATGCTTCATGCGGGTCGACTCTTGGCGTCGTTGCATGCGTCGCCGCAAGAGTCGCCGTGTATGGGCCGCTTTACAGGTATTTTTCAATATTCTAAATTTGGCTGGGATAAATGCATGGGTTTTATATAAAGAAACTACGGGAGAAAATATTTCGAGGCAAGATTTTTTATTTCAACTAGCAGAAGAACTTGTCAGCGAATATCAAAAAATGCTACAGCTCAGCAAAGATCAAATCCAATTACAGGTTCATGTAAACGGAAATCATGTCAAATAAGATATTGTAAAGACAATAAGACTAACAGCATATCTCAAAGGGTCTAAGGGTGTGTTTACGTTGGAGCTGCGATAAACGATAATAGCGACGATACTACCAAAACAACGAAATAGTTGTCATAGTTTTATATGCAGGTGTTTATATTGGAACGAGAGCTGCGCTAAACGATAAGAACAATGAGAGCAGCGATAAGAGCTGCGCAAAATGAATTGAAAACGATTGGTCAGAACAAATCTGTTGTGGTAATTTTTATCTTTTTGGTCCCACAAGGGGGATCTAACAAAAATTTCACTAATTAAACAGTCGATATCCATGCCGACCACACCTGATAATAGCAAAGAAAATAGGGAATACAATTAGCGTCGCTCTTATCGTTAGTCGGCTGTCAAGCTTGTGACAATTCGTCGCTCCAATATAAACACTTGCATATAAAACTATGACAACAATTTCGTTGTTTTACTAGTATCGTCGCTGTTATCGTTTATCGCAGCGCCAATGTAAACGCACCCTAAACTATAATAGTATATTAAAAAACAAGTTTCGTAAGACACGCTTGAAATGCACGAATTCAAGTTGAAAAACGGGTGCTTTAAGTCTTATGAAACGTGTTTTTTATGCTATTTTTTGTAATTAGCGTTTTTATCCTTTTGTTTTAACACAAATAAAATAAATTTTGACAATGTAGGGAAATAGATATGCAGCAGTTGGTAACACCGTAACACTTGAAAATAGAAATTTGAATTGACAATTAGAAACTGTCAAAACACAAAATGTATTCACCTGAAAAAAATGTTTCATGTACACCTCCCAAAATAAGAGAAATTGCTCAGTGTTTAATGTCCTCATCATTGTGGACCTTGTATTCGATGCTAAGAACGTGTTTAAACATCCATAGACAAAAATTGTCACATTAACAACTAGAAAAATTAATGACCCAATGTCACCAACTTGAACTGCTTCCATAAAATATTACTAACATCTCATTACAGCATCGGATGCTGTAAGGAGTCTCATTACAGCACTCGTTTGAGTACTGTTAGAGCTTTCGTTACCATCGCGAATTACAAAATAGTATATTAAAAAACAAGTTTCGTAAGACACGTTTGAAATGCACGAATTCAAGTTGAAAAACGAGTGGCGAAGCCACGAGTTTTTTAATGATTGAGTGCTTTAAGTCTTATGAAACGTGTTTTTTATGCTATTTTTTGTAATTCGCGTTTTTATCCTTTTTTTTTCTCAAACATAAAATAAATTTTGACAATATAGGGAAATAGGTATGTAGTAGTTGGTAACACTTGAAAATAGAAATTTGAATTGACAATTAGAAACTGTCAAAACACAAAATGTATTCACCTGACAAAAATGTTTCATGTATACCTCCTAAAATAAGAGAAATTGCTCAGAGTTCAATGTCCTCATCATTGTGGACCTTGTATTCGATGCTAAGAACGTGTTTAAACATCCATAGACAAACATTGTCACATTGACAACTAGAAAAATTAATGACCCAATGTGACTAACTTGAACTGGTTCCATAAAATGTTACTAAAATCTCATTACAGCATCGGATGCTGTAAGGAGTCTCATTACAGCACCCGTTTGAGTACTGTTATAGCTTGCATTACCGTAGCGAATTACAAACAAAATATTTACAGCTGTCCAAATTTCGATGGGTTTGCAGGGTATCTCAGTTATTATGAAAGATAGAAAGTTGCGGCTTTCGCGAAGCTGAGCTACTTTTTTGTGAAACTTACAATGGCGCAAACCAAATTTTCATAGCTCTCTTCGTTTTTGATATACAGGGAGTGTTTGGAATTTACGATTTACAGACACCTCCTGTATCTCGGCTATCCGGAAACTTAGTAAAAAAGTAAAAACGGGTTCTAATAGATTTTTTCACGTGGAATCCAATGGTGCACGTAGAATTTTTCTAGTCATCACGGTTTTTGAGTTATAACCACAACTCAGATACTGAATACTCAACTTCTAAAATACTGAACTCTTTATAATTCAATAAAGTATATTAATATTTTATTAATATTATTCAATAAATATAATAAATGTATATCAAAAACGAAGAGGGCTATGAAAATTTGGTTTGCGCCACTGTAAGTTTCACAAAAAAGTAGCTCAGGTTTGCCAAAGCCGCAACTTTCTATCTTTCATAATAACTGAGATACCCTGCAAACCCATCAAAATTTGGACACCTGTACAGGGTAGGCAAATTTGGGTGTTATTATAGGCTATCTCAGAAACTATAAGAGATACGAAAAAAGTAGGTGCCATGTTCCGGTCTCTTTTTTCGAGACTAGTCCAATCCCGCAAACACCAAACCTCTATCTTCTTTTGTTTTTAAGTTATCGCCAAAAAGTCAAATTTTCGTGATTTCAAAAAATGATCATATTTCGTTTATTTTTGAAATTAGAGAAATGGGGTTGATACGTTCTTGAGACACTTTTTTAAGTAGAATATACTGCCGTTGAAAAATTTTAAAAATATTTGATGATTTTTGAGATACAACACAAAGTTGTATTTTTTTAAATACAAACTATACTTGATTATGATGTTAATGAAAAGAGCATATTTTTAGCTTTCCAATAATGTATCGCATGTATGGTATATTTGCGGAAAATAAGCGTTAATTTTCAATTCCAAAATAGTAAGCGCTAAAGTTCAAAATTTTGATTATAGTAGGCGGGTTCGGAAAGTAATTAGTAGTAATTACTATCTAATTGCTATATCGTTTTGCACGAATATGACAGAAAGTTGGGCGTGTACCATTATGCAGGATAAAGTTGGTTTTGTACCAACAAATAAAAACTTTGAATAGTTGATTTAAATTTCTCAGTGTCTTATCCCTGACTTTGTTCACCAATAAAAAATGATTTGTAGATAAAGTTTGTTTATTAAAAATATAAGAAACGTATTAATTAATAAATAATTAAACATGAACAACAACTTCAGGAACTAAACATTCACAGACTGTGTCATCTTCTTCTACTAAACTTACTGGTTGTAAGGTTAGCACAGTTGGGTATCAATGAATGAAATCTTCGGTAGTATCTTCCCAGTTTTCCCCAACCATGGTTTTTAAATCTCATGAGATTTAAAAGTTTTTTCATATTCGCAACCTTTTCTTTTGAAATTTTGTGAGATAGAGGAAAATTAGGGATCATAAACTGGGCAGCGGACTTTCCATTGAAACTATGTTTATATGGGATATGGAGCCTTATCTATCATTTTCAAAGGATAATTTTTTAATTTTTCGCTTTATGTATTTAAAGATAATGAGAAATTTTTAAGCGGGAAACTCGTTTCGAAAAATTCATGAATGAAATGATCAGTAAACTCACGTTACTATAGTAACTAAGTGGCATTTAACGTTTTCTTCGCCTACTATAATTGAAATTTTGAATATTAATCTTTAATATTTTAGAATTAAAAAATAACGCTTATTTTCCCCAAATACACCATGCGTGCAATACATCATTGGAAAGCTAAAAATATGCTCTTTTCAGTAACACCATAATCCACTATAGTTTGTATTTAAAAAAATACAACTTTGAGTTGTAGCTCAAAAATCATCAAATATTTTTAAAATGTTTCAACGGCAGTATATTCTGCTGAAAAAAGTGTCTTAAGAACGCATCAACCCCATTTCTCTAATTTCAAAAATAAACGAAATATGAGCATTTTTTGAAATCACGAAAATTTGACTTTTTAGCTATAACTTAAAAACAAAAGAAGATAGAGGTTTGGTGTTTGCCGGATTGGACTAGACTCGAAAAAAGAGACCGGGACATGGCACCTACTTTTTTCGTATCTCTTATAGTTTCTGAGATAGCCTATAATAACACCCAAATTTGCCCACCCTGTACATATGTGGAAAATGTACAATCCATAAACCTATTTGTAAAAAATGCGGCGAAAACGAATAAAATGTATATTATACACTGATGAATAAAAGAAACCATGTTTTTATTGGTTGTGTTAAAGGCCGGTCATTTGACTTGTCTCGGTAGGGATAGGTAACTTATTTACTAAATAATAACTTATTTACCTTCCATCCTAATTTTTCAGCTAAAAGCAAACATCCATCATCACAATCTCCTAACCAACACACATCTCGTGTGTTTTTTGAGGAATCAAACTCCAATCCACCTCCCACTCCCATTATAGCCATTAATCCACTTCTTTGACCAGCTTTTTCTCTATTTATTAACAACCTTGGACATTCCTTGGAAACTCTATAATGAAAACTATTTTTAACAGGTTTCTTTTTAATGATGAATTTATTACCTATCAACAAGTGAAGCAAATGGTTGTACAGCTAATGATGAGCCCAATATTATTAATAAATCAGCCTTTACAAAATCAGTTTGCAAATATCTATAAAATTTTTCAGGAAGCGATTCCCCAAAAAATACAATATCAGGTTTCACTACGCCTGGACAATCTTCACATATTGGAACATCTATTGTAAAAATTTTGTCTAAAAATTTAAAATATTTATTAAAAAATCTAATATACAAAATTCAAAGCATGTTTATTATTAAATAAGTTTACCTTTCATCCATTCCTGAGAATACTCCTTATTACATTCAAGACAATGGCCTTGATTAAAAGTTCCGTGGGCTTCCACTAATTTTTCATCAGGTATTCCAGCTACCCTTTCTAATGTATCAATATTTTGAGTATAATGCCTCAACAAAATACCTTTATTGTTTAACATTTTTATAAAATAATGACAAACAGTTGGTTTAAAAGTTCCCGGATATAACTCTTTGGCTAGTTCGAAAAATGGTCGAGGATTTTTGTGAAAAAAGTCCAATTCAAAAATAGCCTGTGGATGTGGTAAATTATATTTTTGTAAATTGTGATAAAGGCCATAAACGGGAGAACGAAAATCTGGTATTCCAGCAGCTACAAGCAATACCATACTTATTATATACATTTCAAATTATTATTAAGTAAAATTACATGTTGATATCCCCGCTCCAGCCATTGTAATAATCTTTTTACATTTATCACTTTTTATATATTCAACAATACCATCTAATGTAAATTCAGATAAAACCTGCTTTAAAAGAAACATAATCAAATTATAAATACTCTATATTGTTGAAAACCACCTTATTCTTTGAAGATTCCTCGTCATCATCAGATAATCCTAATTTGGAAGCCAAATATTTTCTGATATAACCCATTCCTGTCGCTTCGCTAGTACCTGGTGTTTCTTCTTCTGAATCATCATCGAGATGACTTTTTGAGCCTATACAACACATCAGTTTCAAACACATCAATTCCTTTGCGGAATATCTTTATACAATGAGGTTATACAAACTCTTATTAAAAAATATCTTTATTGGGAAAGTAATGGTGACGCTTTCGAATAGTTTAAGTTTCAGCTTATTGTTTATATATTTGCTTACCATCTTTTTCTTCCGATGACATCGTTTATTTATATTATTTTAGTGTGATTGTAGATTAAATTTATGATCTGACAGTATTTGACAGCATCAACCACATGTGTGAAGTTAGCTATTTTTTACTCGTTAGTAAAGATATTGATAGATGTCACTCGAATAGATTTTCAAATTTGAATCAATTACACTTTTTATCAAAATTGTAGCTATATTTAATTTTGTGTTATAATCAAAGTTTCCTTTTATATTTATTTATATTGTAAAAAAACGATTATTATGAAACAAAGAATATGTTGTTTTTTTTAACAATATGGGATTGTTCGTATAAAAATAATAAATAATAACCCACATTGTTGTGTTTTTGTGTCAACTATGTGCAAAAATGTTATTTTTAAAAATAACGTTTACAAATAAAAAATCAAAATAAATGGCCTTTTATTTATTTACATTAATTATTAGCGTTTTATTGTTGAATGATTTAGATGAAAAGGTTATTCAAATAAAACTCATTGAAAATATAAAATTAACGATAGAAACAAGTATAATTAGCAGAGTAACACTTTGACATCAAACTTAAAACTGAGACCATTTCATTAAAACAGCTGCGATTACTTTAGATGTTGTTGTGGAGGAATTTAAGACGTACACCCACTGAAAAATTAGAAAATCACAAATTACTCAAGAAGGGTAGAACAAATTTTAAATATTCCCACTGTAAGTGGTGTGGCACTACAATAGTCTTGAACATGTTTTTGCTGTTCGTGTTACCCTTCAACGGCAAGAAATTATATTAAAACTTGGTTTTAAAAGTCGATATGCTGTTGGAAAATCATTCATACGTAGGATTAATAAACAAAACCGGTTTGCATTTGTAAAAAATGGCAAAATAAGGATATTAACTTCTGCATGGAAAATGGTAATTTTCACATATGAGTCTAAACTCAATATAAAAATATCTACTGGACGAGTAAGAATTTGGCGAGAGAAAAACAATAGGTATCAGATTGTATGGATATAGGCCATATAATCTGATACCTACCTTCAAACGTTTGGTTTTTCAGCGGCATTAGTTTTAAATCTTCATTTTATAGATTTATTGTAACGAATAATTATAATATACTATTGTAACTCATTTGACAGAATATTGACTGCGAAAGAGTAATGTAAACATTTTGAAAAAAAATTGACCAATGTGCAGAAAAACTGGGATGTTTGCGAGATTTTATTATTCAACGGGATAATGATTCAGAACATACCGCGCTAGATTCTAAACTTTCGATCATATGCAACTGTTCAAAGCACCTCAAAATATCATCACAAAGCGCAGATCTTAATCCTATTATCAATATTCAAGAAGAAATTGAAATATTGCGATATTAGAAACGTAATTGTACAGGGTGCCCAAATTTCGATAGGTTTGCAGGGTATCTCAGTTATTATGAAAGATAGAAAGTTGCGGCTTTCACGAACCTAAGTTACTTTTTTGTGAAACTTACAATGGCGCAAACCAAATTTTTATAGCCCTCTTCGTTTTTGATACGAGGGAGTGTTTCAAAATTTACGATTTTCAGACACCTACTGTATCTCGGCTATCCGGAAACGTAAAAACGGGTTCTAATAGATTTTTTCACGTAGAATCCACTGGTGCACGTACAATTTTTGTAGTCATCACGGTTTTTGAGTTATAAAGAGTTAAGTATTTTAGAAGTTGAGAATTCAGTATTTGAGTTGTGGTTATAACTCAAAAACCGTGATGACTAGAAAAATTCTACGTGCACCATTGGATTCCACGTGAAAAATCTATTAGATCCCGTTTTTACTTTTTTACTAAGTTTCCGGATAGCCGAGATACAGGAGGTGCCTGAAAATCGTAAATTTTGAAACACTCCCTGTATATCAAAAACGAAGAGGGCTATGAAAATTTGGTTTGCGCCATTGTAAGTTTCACAAAAAGCTTATGCATTTTGGGCGGAATGCGTGGGGGAGCACCCAAAATGCGAGGGAAAAATTAAAAATTCATTTTAATTTAAACAAATTAAAAAATGCATTTTCATTAAAAAAAAAATATACATATAATCAAAGAAATATAAATAAACTTAAAAAAGACTGGAATAATCATAATCCATACTTCAGCAAAAATTTAAGAATTATACTGGTGAAAAACCAAACTTAAGGGAAAGAAAAAGTCTGAAATTGCAATAGTTTAAAATTGCAAACTAGACTTCAGCAAAAAACAGGAATTACATTGTTCAAAGTCCACATGAAGTCTGAAACTGTTCAGAGAAAACAAAAAATTGATTATAAACCAAACATGATTTTTTATGGCAATACTATATGTTCAATAAAAGAATGCGAAGAATATGAACAAGAAACCAATGGACTTTTCTTGTTGTTGCACAGGACAGGAAATCACCAATACGGAAACTTTGCCAATGCAGGATAAGCACAAAAGCAAAGTGACAGCTGCAGAAATGAGGTACCGGCTGGTACAAGATCCGTATAGATAATAAGAGGCTCTCAAAAAGATGATGATAGACACCCAGAAAGAAGTAGCTGTCAGTATCAAGAACAAAACATACATAACGTTGGCAGAAGAGTAGATACTGCTTCTAAAAAACTAAATACTGCTTTCTAAAGACTAAAATTGCGTTGTGGAGACTAAATACTGCTTTCTGAAGACTAGATACTGCTAACAGGTCTAAATACTGCAAAAGAAAGATAAAATATTTTGAAGAAAACATACATAACTTTGGCAGAAGACTAGATACTGCTTCTAGAAGACTAAATACTGCTTTCTGAAGACTAGATACTGCACTGGAAGATTAAATACTGCTTTCTGAAGACTAGATACTGCCGACAGGTCTAAATACAGCGTCTGGAACACTAAATACTGCTTTTTAAAGACTAAAATTGCCTTGTGGACACTAAATACTGCTTTCTGAAGACTAGCTATTGCTGACAGATCTACTGCAAAAGAAAGATAACATATTGTTGGAGAAAACATTAAAAAGGCGCCGGCGCCTCCTTTTAGGCGGCGCCCGGGTGCAGTGCACCCCTTGCACCCCCCGGTAGCACCGCCTCTGAAAACTGTGATACCCTGTAAACCAATCGAAATTTGGACACCTGTATAAATATTTTCTTAGTTATTATTAAAGTTTGTACTGTACGAATATGGTGTTTGTTACCAATTGTGCTTAAAATGTCCTTTACCGTTCAGTAGTTCAACTGTAGAGGTAATCAAGATATGTACTTTTGCTTTTACTCTTCTAACTGAAAGAAATTATGAAAAATATTTGATATTTCGGTGGGTGTACGAATACGGATTTGAACATTTTTTGATTTGGAACATAGGAAACTGGTTAAGAAATGCAGCAATTTAATCGGTTTAAGTTTAAATTCGCCGATGCGATAAGGTGCTTCACCGATATTGTATTGTACAAAGGTGAACTCCAGTTTTCTGCAATGTAACAAAGTTTCCGATTCGTTTCTTGGAACATAGAAAATGACAAGATTATTTTTCTTTCATTTCCTTTCCGCTCTGCAAACATTTCCTTTGTTATCAATTCAGCTGCTAAATTATCAACTTTTAGTTCGTATTCCGTTATCTTACCAAGCGAATTCTTTATGATTGGTTATATCAGGGACAATAGCGTTTAAGCTGCCAAAAATATTCAAATTTTTAGGGTTGTTATTACCAACGGTCCTTATAAAATTTATGTTTTTTTACCTACATGACGTTAAAGAAAATTATTTTATTCAAATTATTTGCATAAATATAAAACCTGAATTTGAATTTTGTCTTTTTCAATAATGTAAGTTCAAACGTCACTTTGACACAAATTGATTTTAAAACATGATATAACAAAATTCCTTATTAATCTTGCCAACTTTACATTAACTTGACAGGTATTATAGAAAAATAACAAACTGTGTTTATTTACTTTATTTAATATCTTAAAAAGTGCTTATTTGTTACTTCAGTTTGTTTTGTAATTTCTACCTTAACATATTGCTTAAGTTAAGACTTAAGTCTAAATACAAGGTTTGTTGATCTTTCATCTTCGTTTAGTCAGATGCTAAAATTGCACTTACAAGGATTAATTTATTCTTGCGGTGTAGTAACTCCTGTACAGGTTTCGCTACATATTGTTTTCGACGGTTCATAGTTATCTCAATAAACGTAAATAATTTTGCTCCAGTCCCCGATGTAAAACTTCATGTTTTTCTTATTTATTTCTTTGCATCTTTCTATACATACAGTTAGTCACAAAAGTCTACATACACCACCTAAAATAGCGATACCGCGATGAAGACCATTAAATTCATCTTTGTATTGCATCTAAAACTACTTGTATTTATTGACGAGCATACCACATATAATAAAACTAAATCAAGTGCTCCATGGATAGAGCAAAAGAATTAATACTGACAGAAACATACAACACAAAAGTCAACATACAGTTACGCATTTGATACAAAAGAGCTTACATAGACGTTTCTAGTTAATATTTATGTTATTTTATGTTTAAAAAGTATATGTTATACTTTCTAGTTAACTTAGTAGTGAATATTATATTATTTAAAATTCAAAATATTATGGAAAAAAAATAAATATCGGTTGATGTTCGCCATTTAATAGAAATGAGGGAAAATTATATAGTGAAATTGCTAAAACTGTTCGCAAAAGTCAAGCAACAATCCAAACAATTATAAAAAAATTTAATTTAAATGGAAATGTATTAAATAAGCCACGCATTGGTCGTCCAAGAGTTTTAAATCTAGGTGATACCCGAAGAATTTTAAAACGGGTGAAAGAAAATCCCAGAACAAGTGCTCCTCAACTGGCAGAAGAAATTCAACAAGCTACCCATAAAGTCTTGCATCCACAAACTGTACGTAGAGTGGTAAGATTTAATGGTCGAGTTCCACAAAGAAAACCTTTGATTTCCCAACAAAACAAGGAGAAAAGGATTCAATTTGCTAAAAAATATCTTGTAAGTGACTTTGAATTTTGGAAACAGTTCTGTTTACTGAAAGTAAGTATAATATTTTCGTATCGGATGCCAGAGGAAAAATTTGGCGGAAGGCAAACCAAGAAATGAAAGCAA